GTTTTATCCCAATAAGGTGTTTCCCTCGCTCAGCCTTCTTTATATTAGCAATCAAGGCCTTTCTGATCATCGACCTATACAAATAGAGTTCGCACTGGAACCTGAAAATTTACAAAGAGGTCGATTTTATTTTGATAAGCGTATGCATGGAAAGAGAGGGGTGGACGAGGCCATTGTTCGTGGATGGGATGTTGAAAATATTAACTCAAATTTAAGTGTTCTTGATCGTATTGCTCGATGCCGGTCGGAGCTCTCTAAGCTTAAAAAGACCAATGACTGGAATTCAAAATCAAGAATCGAACGTTTACAGATTGATTTGGACAAGGAGAGCTCAAAGCAATTCCCAGTTTATAGTTTGGTAAGGAGACTGCGATAGGAACTGGATACGGCTTATAGGGAAGAAGAGATTTTTTGGAGGCCGAAAAGTAGAGAAGAATGGCTACGGGAAGGAGACATGAATACAACTTACTTTCATAATGTGGTTAAAGGGAAAAAAATACGAAATAAAATCTTAATGCTTAAAGACATTTTTGGTAATGAACATTTTTCTGAAGGGTCTAAAGCTCATATTGCTACTGAGTATTTCAGAGATTTGTTTACAAGCTCAAACCCAAGAGATCTGGAAACTCTGTTTGAAGGGTTTGATACTAGGGTTACTTCAGAAATGAACGCAGTGTTAACCAGAGAGGTATCACCCGATGAAATAAAAAAAACAGTCTTTGGTATCAAAAGTAGTAGTGCCCCCGGCGAAGATGGTCTTACTGGTTATTTTTACCAGAAATATTGTACATTGTGGGACAGAAAATTATTGGTGATGTTCAGGGTTTTTTTAAAACAGCCATACTTCCTGCTGGTTGGAACCATAAACAGTTATTTTTACTACCCAAAATTTTATATCCTACGGAGATGAAGGATATGCGTCCCATTATTCTTTGCATTGTACAATACAAAATCATTTCTCGTTTGTGATAGAATGAAAGCGATTTTACCAAACATAATTTCGGATACTCAATGGGCTTTTGTTGGAGGCAGGCTAAATACAGATAATGTTATTATAGCACATGAACTGGTACATGGCCTGCGTACCAATGATAAAATTGGTAAAGAAAGTATGTCTATTAAAAAAGATATGTCCAAAGCCTAGGGATTGGGTTGAATGGAATTTTCTTGAAGTTCTACTTCAAAAAGTGGGTTTTGATCGGAAATGGGTCGTTTGGATTATGTCATGCATCACCACTGTCACTTTTTCAGTGTTACTAAATGGACGATCTCATGGATTTATTAAACCTGAGAGAGGAATACGTCAGGGTGATCCTTTATCTCCTTTTTTATTCATATTATGTGATGAAGCTTTGGTTCATCTTTTAAACAGAGCTGATGATAACTTGCTCTTATGTGAAGCCTCTATCAAGGATAGTGTAGAAATTTTGGATTGTCTGAAAGTCTATGGGAGGCTTCTAGGCAAATGATTAATCCTTTGAAGTCTTCTATCATTTTTGGGAAAAACATAGCCAAAGATACAAAAGAAAATATAAAAAGTTCTTGGGTATTGACAAGGAAGGGGGTGAAGGTTCATACCTCGGTCTCCCTGTATGTTATCAGGGATCAAAAAAAGATCTTTTAATTTTTATCAAAGAGAGCCTAGAAGGCAGACTACATGGTTGGTACTCCAAAACTTTATCATTGGGGGCCAAGGAAGTTTTAATAAAATCGGTAGCTTTGGCCCTCCCAATATATGCAATGTCAGTCTTTCGGTTACCAAAAGGTCTCTCTGAACGAATCACGAGTGCGATTATTGAGTTTTGGTGGAGTAGTAGGGACAAAAAACGGAAGATCCCCTGGGTTTCCTGGGAAAAACTCTGTAAACCCAAAGAAAAGGGGGGTCTTGGGTTTCATGACATTGGTCGTTTCAATCAGGCTTTGCTTAGTAAACAAGCTTGGCGAATCTGGAATAATCATGATTCTTTGATCTCTCGCATTTTGAAAGGCAAATATTTTAAAAATGGTAATTTTCTGGAGTTTGGTATGGGGACACGTCCATCATATGTATGGCGGAGTATCATGCACAGTAGAGAATTATTAAAACAGGGTTTATACCGACATATTGGCAATGGGGTTAATACCAATGCTTGGGCTGAAAATTGGATTATTGATACTATTCCTCGGCCACCAATGTACCGAGAGAATAGTTTCATAAATCTAGCGCTAAAAGTTTCATACTTATTTGTGCAGGGATCGAACCAGTGGGATATTAATTTATTAAATCAAACTTTTACGTCACATGATGTTCAAAGGATCTTACTTCTAAAACCATCACTGTTACTTGAAGATACAATCAGATGGGGTTTCACAACAAGTGGCTCATATTCGACTCGAAGTGGGTATAAATTGTTAGAGGCTTTGGTCGACTTTGATCATCCTCCAGAGCACTCTCTCACTCCTCTTGAAAAACAATTATGGAAAGAATTATGGAAGGTTAAAGCCCCACCAAAAATAAAACATTTTATGTGGCGCGCTCTATCTAGTGCTTTAGCGGTAAAACAACGATTGAATACTCGGGGGATTCCGATAGACCCAACATGTTCAGTATGCGGTAATGCGGCAGAAAGTATATGTCACGTTCTCTTTACATGTTCGAAAGCACGTGCTACTTGGGAACAAGCTAATTTCCCCATACCTTTAGGTGGTTTTTCTCGGAATTCAACATTTTAAAATTTTGTGCATCTTATCATGATTGTCAAAAAATCAACCACGGATATTCATACAAGGAATGTTTTCCTTTGGTTGTTATGGGAAATTTGGAAAGCTAGAAATGCCTTTGTTTTTGAAACCAAAGATATCAAGGCTTCTTTTATTGCTAAGAAAGCCTATGAAGAGGAATCAACATGGTTTGATACATTTTCAGGAGCAAAGGATAATGTTTTGGAGGTTCCTTCTGTAATGATTCGATGGCAAAAACCACCCAAGGGTTTCCTCAAATGTAATGTTGGTTCCTCTTGGTCAAACTCTAACCGTCATAGTGGTGCTTCATGGATCTTACGAGATGAAAATGGGTGTACAGTTATGCATAGCCGTCGGTCTTTTTCTTATATGCGCACAAAGACAGAGGCTGATTTGTGGTCTCTTCTTTGGGCGGTGGAATGTGTCCACAATCTGCATTTCTCGAATATCAGTTTCGAGACTTCCTCCGAGACCCTATATGACGCACTCACTCATCCAAATGACCACCTCATTTTCAGCCATATTCGTCACAATATTTCTTTCCTTCTCGCCAGGATAAATTCATGGAGTTTAGACCACGCATTTCAAGAGCGCAATGAAGCAGCATACGCTATTGCTATAAGTGTCACTCGCGATAACCGTCACCAGTCCTACATCGCCCGTAATGCACCTGTGTGGCTACATCACCTACTTGCTTTGGAGGCTCAGCTATAAGGTTTTGGGTGAGGTTTCTTTTTCGTCATCCGTTGATGTCTAATGATATCTCCTCCTTTCTCTGGTTTTCCCTTTTGTACTATTTTGGAACTTTCTTTGTACCATCGCACCAGTGTTATAAAAAAAAGCAATCAAGGCCTCAGTGCACATAATAAATAAATAAGGTGATAAGGGATCCCCTTAACGTAAACCTCTATGTGGAACTATAAAACCTCAGGGTTGACAATGAAAGCCCATTTTGTGCAGAATTGCCTGAATAAAATCTCATTCCACTCTATCATACGCTTTACTCATGTCCGTTTTAATTGTCATATACTTTCGGTGACATGCTTTATTAGTTCTCAATCCATGAAACATCTCTTAATCAATAAGTATATTATCTGATATCAACCTTTCTGCTACATCATCGTAATTTACTCTATTTACGTAATTAAGTATAATGTAATTAGAGTATTTGTGAAATGGACATTATGGTAATTTACTCTATATAGTGAAACTTAATTGGGCCATCTTGAGTATTGAATGTTAGTTTAGAAATAAAATTCTGGATTATGGTCATTTGAGATCATTTTTTAATATTAAATTATGAACAATATTTCTATACTCAAGCTTGCAACTATAACTAGAAAAAAAATAATTTAACTATTTATGTTATAGAATCTTAATAATACAAAAATAACAGAAGTAGTTTCAGAATTTCAAGTATAATTAAATAAATTTAAAAATATAATGCATAAAAATATATAAACAAGAAATACTATTTTCATATTTTTAAGATGGTTATCTATTTTATTGTTTATTTTATGAATTTAATATAGCAAAATATTGTAAGAATATATTGATATTTATTTACAACTGATAATAAAATAAATTGTGTATAAAATATTATATATTATAATGTTAAACTAAACATGTCAAACAAATGTTATAAAGTATGCTATATATATATATATCGAAATTTAAATAATTTAAAGTGATGTACTTTTAAAATAAATTTTGACCTATGCCAAAAAAAAAAAAAAAATCCACTAGACAAACATAAATTTTATCAATGACATATGAGTTATATATACGATATCATTTTACTTGCCAAAATATCCAACGGCCATATGAGTAAACAACACCATACAAAAATATTTAAAAAGCATAGTCAATGTTGAATTTGATCTATAAAGGTTTTTATTTTAAATAAAGAGCATTTTACTTGCTTTTAGTTCCCCTGGTTTTGGCATGTCTCTGACCCCAATAACATCTCGTTTCTATAACATCTATAATAATTATGTGGAGTATTGTTTGGCGCTGATCTGTATATATATTTATATGTATTACATACCATTGGTTGAAGATTTTTTAATGTATTGTGTGATATTATCTTTTAGTAGCTATCTCCAATATGTATGTTACATATTGTGTGATATTATGTTATAGTTGTTATCTAGCTCTAATTTTATATATATTGAATCAGTTAAAAAACTTTGTAGCTACTACAGTTTCTTACAATTCTAACCCTTCTCTATATACCAACTATTTTTAGGATCTCTTCTGATACAAAGTTCCATACCATAATGAGTTCAACAAATATATCATCTAGAACTCTACATAGTTGGAGAGAACGTCCTCCTTCTTATTCCATCAAAGTCAAGACCCTCTTCGACCTCGAAAGCTCAACTCTACACTCTGATGGAAATTACCAATCCCGTCGTTTCTCCTCAGGTGGATACAACTGGTATGTATTATATTGTTGTGTTAACTTATTGCCGCAAGTCACAGATTTTGTTGATAGTGATGAATATTCAAATTGTTAGGACGATTGAGACAATTTTCTATTGGTATAGGCTTTCGTTTGTAAACGTCTTTGTATACACCCCAAGTTCCAATACAAACGAAAATGGGAAACATAGGGATATTAGCATTTCAGTATTAGGGCCGTGACGTTCCTCTGCTAGTAGAGATATTAGCATTTCAGTAGTAGGGCCGTGACGTTCCTCTGCTAGTAGAGATCCCTAGTAGTAAATTTTGAAGTCAACTAGAACATAATGTTTATGCAGTTTTTTCTTTAAAAAAATCCAGGATACTGATCATATACCCAAAAGGGAACGGCAATGACAACGGGAGCGGATTTCTTTCAATGTATGTTGAAATAGATAACATAAGCCTCATGTCCGCACAAGCAGATGAGGTGTATGCAGATATCCGTTTTTTTGTTTTTAACAAAACCGAAAACAAGTATTTTACTATACAAGGTTGGTATTTACATATTTAGTTTAAATATTGGCTTCTTTTCTCTCTCTCTCTCTCTCTATATATATTCAATCGATCATAAATGGTATATATGCATATCCAGATGTGGATTCGAAGCCTTTCAATACATTAAAAACGAGGAGGGGATTCCCGCAAGTGCTTCCACTTGGTACATTCAGTGACCGCAAAAATGGATACCTCTTTGATGGAGATCATTGTGAGTTTGGTGTTGATATCGTTGTTACTCCACCTCCAACCAGATGGGAAGTCGTCTCTTTTGGTGAGCAACTTCCTTATCCCAAGTTCTCTTGGACTATTAAAAATTTCTCTCAGATAAAAGAGAATCCTCACATATCAAAGAGTTTTTCAAAGGGAGGAAGGAAATGGTAAACTAACAAATGCTTTCTTTTACTTTATATGTAGCTACAATAGCGTGTATAAGAGATTTAACAAGTGCCTAACGATGTTGTTATGTAGGGTTCTAAAGTTGTATCCCAAGGGCTACTCTACACCAGATAATAAATGGGTATCCATTTTTCTGCATTTAGAAGATGGTGAAGTTTTAAAGGAAGATGAGAAGGTTTACGTGGAAGCAGATCTGAAAGTTGAAGACCCACAAAGATCCAGTCACTTGACGCGCAATCGTACGCTACAAAACACTACCATTTACATCCTTATTTTTAGTTTTCTTAAACTAACACGAGTTTATATATATTACATATACTACACATTTCCTTTTTTAACAGTTAACTGGTGGTCCAAAGTAGCTGGCGCGGGTTATGGTTGGGATCACTTCGTTTCTTTAGCTGATCTTCAAAAGTCTTATTTGGACAAAGAAGACACTTTGAAAGTAGAGATCGAATTTAAAGTTGTTTCGGTAACCAAATACTCCTCACCAACTGCAGCTAGTTCAACTGGGAAAGCACCAAAAGGATTGTCAAAAGTAACATTTAGAAAATGACATAAGCATTGATCCCCAAACTGAAGGATGTATTTTTTTTTTTTTGTCACTCCGGATGTTCTTTAAATGCCCATACTATCTTTAACGTTCTTTAGTTTCTGTTTTGTTTTTGTTACCCTTTACTCCTTTAGTTTCTGTTTAATTTGGATTTTATTATTTTCCCAATCTGACTAAATGAATTTATTTTATTTTTAATGGATATATGGTAAATGCATAGTTTATAAGAATTTATTATAATACTCTCTCTGATTCAAATCAATGTCATTTTAGAGTTTCTCATCAAAAATTAAGAAACTATTTAAATGCTTAAATTTCACTTGTTTAATTGTTACTCATTCTGTTTTATTTTTATTGTGCATTGTAGAGTAATATTTTTGTGGTGTTCAAAAAGAAAAAGAGTAATATTTTTTTCTAGTGTTAAAAAAAAAAAGAGTAATATTTTTGTTTCAAAATAAGTGTTGTTTTAAAATTTTAATGTAATATTTATTAATTCATTATACTATTCAGTTATATTTTTGTTGGTTAAAATATGATGGAGGTGTATTGGCAATGATGTTTTTATTTACAAAATATATAAAATTAACTATTTTTTTTAATATGCGTGCACAGATCTAAAATGATAGTTAAAACAAATAGAAAGAATAGAATTATGTAACATTTATTGTTTATTTTAATTTAGTTAACAGAAAAAAAAATATTTATTGTTTATCTTAAAATGGAGAAATGAAATAGAGAGAGTAATAATTGTGATGTCTTGAACCTTAGAACACCTACAGCAGTGCACTTCTTGCAAAAATTTCTCACAAGAAAATTAATTAAATATAAAACAGTAGGAGAGAGAGTAAGAAGTGTAATGTGGCATTTTCCTATTCAACAGATTTCATTTATTTTTAGTAATTTTAAGAATACAAATAAATTATTTAGCAAAATTAGTATAATAATCTTGAGAAATGCTTTTTAAGAAATTAACCACTAATGATGTTTTTAGAGTATTCACACTGATGATATGGGGACATCACCTCTTTTACCTATCTTCCTCATCACTCAATCTCCTATACCCATAAAAATCACCTATACCCATCACTCTTTAATGAATTGTGGAAAGACTAAATTGACCTTGGTTTGGGGTGAATGAAAATCGAAAATTGGGTTGGGTTTGTGATGGGTTGAAAATCGTTGGTTTGGGAAGTTTGGTTAATGGTTTTATAAAAAAAAAATTAATTGAGAAAAGCTAAAAAAAAACCCGACGTCGGCTCTCGTCTTCTTCTTCCTCCCCGCAGCTCCCCCATCCGGGCTCCATCCCCCTCTGTCGCCGCAGCTTCTCTCCTCCTCCTCCATTTTCAAAGTGTTTCCAGAGGTCTAGCATTCCATCGGCGCAAATAGAGGGGAGTTGGGTATTGCAGGTAAACTCAGGACCAATGCACAACGGCATTGTTTATCTGATGGGTCAATTAGTATAGCGATTTGGTATAAAATGCATTAATGTGGTTGAATTAAACGTTGATAGATGCGATTCGAAACCTAGTGTTTTGGATTATTGTTCGAGAACTGGGAAAAGTGGAATAACTAGGAAAACTCGAACAACTGGTATAACTGTGTTGATCTTGTGCGATATTTTTGGCAGGATACAATGACCAATAACGTATTCGTACATTTTTCATATGAAGACTGCATGTATGGTATATCTGTGAAGGCATCAGTGGAAGATGTGACGTTGTCAATGTTACAAGAAAAGATGTATAAGAAGCTTGGGTTGGATGAACGTAAGGAAAAACTGAAATTGAGCTACATTCCGATGGTGATACGTTGCAAGAAAGCTGTAACTATTGCTGATGATGACGATCTTTATGTTTACCTCGGATGTGTCGATAAAGAGAACCAAAGATGTCTTTTGGTTGTGGAGAGTAGTGAAAGGTCGGGACCGAGACCACAAGATAAACTTTCGAGAGCGGGTAAAAGTTCTCTTGGTATGAACTACAACGATTTGCAGCTATTGGAACATGAAGTTGGACCTAATGCCATTACATTGTACGTTGGTGAGAACCAGGGGAATAACGAGGTGAGTGCTATGGAGACTGGTACTTGTATGGAGACTGATATGGAGACTGATACAGGTATGAAGAATGATACGGCTGCGGAGACTGATACTGGTATGGAGAATGATACGGGTGCGGAGAATGAAACGGCTGCGGAGAATGATACGGCGGCGGAGACTGATACGGCTGCGGAGAATGAAACAGCTGCGGAGAATGAAACGGCTGCGGAGACTGATACCGTACATCCAACCGCCGATAGGTATGTTGAAGAGCCACCTGCAATAGTACGGAGTAGTTGTATAGAGGAATGGGGCGATGGTTTGAGTCTCAATAAACATGACGAATTTCCAAGTAAGAAGGCAATTAAGGAGATGGTGGATAGAGCTGCATATAGTAAATGTTATCGTTATGTCACTAAAAAGTCTGATCGAAATCGATTGGTGATAACATGTTCGCAAGCTGACTGCAAATGGGTAATACGAGCTTCAAGGATTGGTGGGACAGAAATTTTCTCAATAAAAAGCTACACGCAGATGCATACATGCTCGCGGACACAACAAAGTGACAGCAACGACAAGAGAAGAGCGTCAGCAGA